GGCTTCAGACATGCTGGTACCAATTCACCCAATAATACATCAGCTGACCTTCTCCATTTCCTCCCTGCTAATTGCACAGCCACTCTCTAAATTACTTACTTGGTGTTGTGAAATTAACATCTCTTTATCTAATTCTGTAGAAATGTGGAAATCCATTTGATCTTAACATCATGAGGATAGCGTGGCTTCTTTTGAGAGCAAAGTATCAGACAGCAGCCGTCTGAAAAGACTTCCTTGCTTTTCCCAAGTCTTCCACTCTCCTACGGAGTGGCCTGTGCCAAATACTTGCTTTGTTTTTCATCTTTAAATTGAAACTCATAGCAGCTGCAGTTAACGTAACTAATTTCATGAATATACCTCTCTGAGATATGCTAATGAAAGTCTCGTGTGGGAAAATAATTGTGAGTCTTTACTATGTGCCTAATTGAAATCTTAAAATCAAAGACCACAGTTCTCAGTTGTTACAGGTGGGGTTTTATTTAGCAGCTTGTTGCTGTTTTAAGCTTTCTTAGGGGGTTGAGTACTGTCGAGAACAGTTTGCCATTTTGTTGCTGACGTTGTAACCTATTGGGGTTGTTTCTGGTGGCAATCCCTGATCTTTTATCTGTTTTTTACAAACCATGCCATGACTGTGCATCAGAAAAGTCTCAGATGACCAGTACCTTAGAACATGTAATGGATTTTAACTTTGACTGATGTTGGTCTAATGTGTAAAGGTTTGCTCAAAGGAGAACATTAATGGTACCAACATTTGATGGTGTTAATATCCAAAAAAGTGATCTCCTGGGCCATCTGTTGATGCAGTTTACTTGGCATGGAGCTCTAGCACATAATATACCCATAGTATAAGGGTATGCAGGGCTATTCGCTTGCATCTCTAGCTTAAATCCTGAACTAATTAATATTCACAGGGTGAAGGGGCAAAAAGGGTTATACAACATCACGTATAACCTGCAAAAGAAACAAATACCTTTTAAAAATATCTGTGTTCCTCTTTCATGGGTGTGTATTCATTCCTCATTACACTTATGAATCCATTATGATAAGACACAAAAAGGAAAAGGATCAGCTTCAGTTGTTCAGAGAGCATTGATGTAATTTCTGCCCTCAATTTTTAATAGTTAGAGGGCCAGATGTGTGGGGAGAGGAGATGCTGAGCTCAGTGACAGTCTGAGAAGTGCCAACGTGAGTAGCAGCATGCATGGTGAACCATTTGGACAGAATGAGTGGGACATGACTCATCCCAGACTTCAGTAATATCACAGGGCGTCAGAAGGATTGTTATGAGAACTTATGTTACACTGGACAAATGATTTATACATATTTCTTTGAAGCAGTTTCCCTAAATTGTAGACAGAACTTGCATAGACATCTCTGGAGCAGAAATCCCTTTTGCACCCTGGAAGCCCATAGAAATTTTACCATGATTATGAAATTGGACCTGAGGATTTACAGAGACAATATGCTTTATTCATCCCATTCATCAGAGAGCCTTGAATGCTGTACAGAGCTCACAGCCATCACCTGGGAGGTCTCATTTCCTCTCTTCTGAGGCAGGTGGTAGGACAGGCTGCCTGGATGCCCATGAAGGCATCAGGACCAGCTGTGTTGCATCTCACGGGTAGGTCGGATCAATTGTACTGCAAATATCCAGGAAGTTCAAACACTATGAATTTGCACTTCAAAACCATGAAAAGTGGTCACCCCCAAATAATTTAAAAGATACATTGAGATGTGTCTTGATAATAACGTGACCTAAATACAAGAATTTCATTATTGAAGACCTGTGGAGTCTTCCAGAGATTAAAGAACGTGCCATGTAATGCCTACTACTTTGCAGAAGCATTGCAGCGGCAGCAGGAGAACCTTGTTTGCCTTTGATCCCATCTGTGGTTGGTGAATGGCATTTCAGAAATCACTGATAGTACAACAAGGTTCTCGGAACTAAATTTCATCCTTATATTATTTAGTTCAAATCAGTATGATCTGAACAGAAGTAGACCATGATTTTCCATATATGTTTTTTTCTAATTGTTTTATTTAATTTCACTTGTCAGGACAAAAAAGACCTGGTAAGGTCTAACCTAAGGTAAACCTAAACCTATTTGTAAATTTGACACCAGATACAGATATGCTTTTCCAAATTACTCATTTTACAAGTGGATTTTCTATTTAAGATCTTTGTCAAATTAATGAAAAAAACAGAACAGAGTATTCTTCAAGGGAAAAAAAAGAATGTGGTAACTGTACATTGATGTAGTTTAGTTTTGGATGAAAAAATATACATATAGATAGCAGGAAATGGCAGAGCACACCAACTGTTTTGGCTGTAAGGGCAGTGTGTTCAGTATATGACATTACAGGGGAGTAAAGGATTAAGATTAGAAATAAAAGAGGCAGATTCTTTTGTTATCATGGATAAGCAAGCCTCCTTCAAATATAGGGAAAAATATTTTGGTATACTTTTGTCCAAACTATCAATGCAGTCATATTAAGATACCTAAATTATTTCTTAATTAAAAACCACTTTTATTAATAAATCAGTGTTGGTAATAAAACAGCCAGCTCCAGAGAAGTTCTTGCCTAAAACTTTCAACATCCCAGATAATGCATGATTAAGTACAAGTGGACAGACAGGGTTTTTGTTTCTCCTAAATGACAAAATTACATCTGCAATGAGCAAGCATTTCGTTAAAGCCTCCTTTTTTGTCTCTCCTGAAACTTGCAGGGAGACAATGAGATGAGACTGATCTGCATGGAGAGTGATCTATCAAGCAGTTAGCTAAATGTAGTGGAGAGAAATGATATTATAAAGGCAACTCAGAACTGTTCAAACATGACGACTATTGGCTGTACATTTGAGTAAATCTATGCAAAATAAAAGCCTAGAAAAACAAAACTCTTTGATCTCAATACATTTCATGCAGAAATCCACTCCAAAATGGGAGTCAAGAGTTCATTGCAAATTCTTCCTCATTTACTCTGGCAATTTAACTAGCAGATGCTGAATCAAGCTCAGCCTAGGACCAGATGGTATCCATCCAGAATTTCTAAAGGAAATAGTAAAATTATTAACTATGATGTGCAATCTATTGTTTAGAACTACGTTGTTGCCAGGGGAAAAAAATTTTGTAAATGTGATGCCAATGTTTAAAAAGGACTCCAGGGGAACTAGACCCTTGGAATTGTGAGCCAGTCTGTAAGTCTGGCGTTCAGAGAAGGAAAACTGATGAGGACTCTACTAACAGACAAAAATCTCTGGACAAATTTGTAGAGGAAAGCTGCACCTTATACATTCGGAGTCCTGAGTATGTGAACAAGGTTTGTCACTTTGTTTTAAACACTATCTCCACAGTTGCTGGGATTTGCACAGAATATCATTCCCTCACATATTCTGCTCTTGCTTTTGGTTGAAATTAGTACCTTCTGGAGTTAGTCATGGCTCAGTACTTATCCCTCAGCTCTTCAAGACTGTGCTGCACCTGCTGTCTCCTACCACTGTGATCCAGCTCCTTTGCTGCCTGCACAGCACACAAGGCGAGCTGTGTCCAGTGCAGCCTGGGTCAGTTTGCCTTTTAGCTGACCCTGTGAAGCCTCCAGCCGTGGCTGCTGGCCTCACTGGCTTCACCCATCTTGCATGTGCTTAGCAAGCATATCTTGACACTGAAGTGGGCCCATGCCTTGGGCTGGGGCTCAGTGAGGGGCTCCTGCTGTCCTGGGGAAGCTGGTCCTTCACCCTACTTATCTTTGAGACTGACACAAGAGACCTGCACTGGCTTCCCAGCGTTAATCTCAGCCCTGGCCAGCCTCTCACACCCTGAGAGCAAGGTGGTCAGTGGGACTGTGCAGTGGTGTGGGCCACTGATGGTCAGCTGCATCCAGGACTCCCAGAGGTACAAAGTATAATTGAGAAATTAGAACTTTCAACCTAACTTTTCAATCTACTTTCCTACATACCTATTCCCATTATTCATACTATAAAGCAAAGCTGGCAGGACTGGAAGAGAAAGCCAGGCTTTCCATTCTGTGTGTATCAGCTTTAAGGGGTCAGGATTTGTTACAAAGAACCCGTTACTGTTCTGCTTTTAAGCAAAAGGGATTTAAAAATGTGAAATTAGTTTTTCATTCAGTTATAGTAGAGATTAATTTCTAATATTAATTGTACTTCTGGCCATAAACAAGCTATATACTGGCAAGTAAAAGCCCATGACTGTGAAAACACCAGTGAGGATGATGTTTATTTAAAAAGCAGAACTTCTAAGCCATCAAGATCCTTGTATTTTCCACTAGTGTATAACTAATGTGCCACGATTTATCACATTTATCAAGTTTGTCAAGTTCTTGCACAGAGGAAATGTATAGGCTTCTGCTTATATTAACTGACAATTCTAATACACTTTCATAAGATTTGATCCACTAAGTGAAATTAGTGAGTTTTTCTACTGACCTGCTGGGGTTTGGATCAGGCACGTACAGCACTTTCATAGGAAACTAGCACTTTGCCAATTGAGATAAATGTAGCTGCTTTTATTTTTCTGAGTCTACCCTATCTTCAGTTTACTCTGAAAAATATGAAGACAAGAATCATTTCCATGTAAGGAATGCAAAATCTTCACTATGTTTTTCTCTTCTCTGACCTTTTGTTAAGCAACTCTTACCATTTAAAATGTTAATTGAGAGACAGATTTATCACTCTCCTCACTTGCTGGGTCTCATTTATAGGCTGTGACCTAACAGGCTGACTCTGAGAAATAATGCAGAGACATGAGTAGAAGCAATCTTGCAAGGGGTTAATGCTGTAATCTTTTCCTGTTTATAATCCCAACAGTAATGCAGTAGCAGAAGAGGGTGGATCTCAGAAGTACCTGGGGGGATATGCGTGTGTGTGTGTGTGCATACGTGTGAGTGTGTATGTGCACACACGCTTTGCTTTTCTGAGCGGCCGTGTGTGCCTCTGGAATAAATCTTGTTCAGCCAGAACAGGGCTCTGTGTGCTGGGTGCTCCTGCTGGAGAGTCAGAACAGCTTCCTTGCACAGCTGCCTCTCTTGTATTTCTTCTGAAGACTTCATTCAGAAACCATTTGCTCACTGAAAGCATGGGCAGATAGTTACAAACCCACCTTCTTCTTCATCGAAGCGACCCTGTGGATACTGAAGAATGGAAATAGTTGATGCTAGTATCTTCCTTGGGAATGGTAGCAACATTACTGATTTCCTCTGCGATATCATCTTGGAGAATGACACTTTTTTCTGTGTGGATGATGCACCTTATCCTTCTAAAGGTATGTATGGAAAATTTATTTTTGCCAGGCAGTTTTATTTCTAGCTGGATGCAGAGATACTATACAAAGAAAGAGCTATGCAAGGCATTTTCTCTGAGAGAGTGCAAAATCAACTGCTTGCTTTTAAGTTCATATGAGAAACAGGCAGCAAAAAATTTAGTATGTGCTGGTTTTCCAAATTCAAAGTTGAACTAGGAAAAAATTTGGATATAATGGAACACTAAAACAGTAGCACTTTGGAGAACAAAATGCAAACATCTCTGCTAAGAACTTGGAGAAGCATGATTTTTACTCAATTCAATAACAATGGAGTGATCAGATCTGATACCATCTATGAAAGTGATTTAATATGAAATCATAGCACTCTGAAGCTGAAAAAAAAATCCATATATTTAAATGTCTTTTGACTGCTTGACCTTTTCTTACTTCTGCATAAAATAGGATCTCCCATGGTGAGTAAGTAGTGCACAGTCAGTAGCATGAGAAGAACATGCTTTAAGAAGTTGTATTTGACTCTCCAAATGTACATTGTATTGCTTATATTGTAGATTAATGCTATGCAATTTAGGTAGATCAGAATGCATTTAAGAATTTCAGCAGTTTCACTGATTTTGTGTTGGTGTAAAGACATAAACCTTCATAAAATTGAATACAGAAAGGCTTTTACCTTCTGATTAAAGGTTGAAATATATAATATTAATCTCAGTTGAATACTGTGTAACTGATCTTTTTTTTGTGACAATTTTCAGATTTGCATCAGATAATACGGATTCTGCTGTATTGCTTGATATTTCTGCTCAGCGTTTTGGGGAACATTCTGGTGATTACAGTGCTGATAAGAAACAAGCGGATGAGAACAGTCACCAACACATTTCTGCTGTCACTAGCAGTCAGCGACCTGATGCTCTGCCTTTTCTGCATGCCTTTCACCCTCATTCCCAACCTGCTAAAAGATTTTATTTTTGGAAGTGCTGTTTGCAAAACTGCCACTTATTTCATGGGTAAGTCTGGGAAGTTTATACTTATTTTGAAGACTGACTAATGAGACAGGTGAGAAGATACTTAAAGATCTATAAGAGGCTGATTGTTTCCAACCACCATTGAAGTTATCACTATTAAAAAGAAACAACTTTGTAGTGCAAATCTTCATGGTTCTGGTGTCCTTGGTCTGATCCAGCAAAACACAGAGGCACACACACTTAACTTTAATGACATCAGAAGTGTTTTGCTGGATGTGAAGATGTTGCATGATCAAACTTTAGTGAGGAACCCAGTGCACACACTTGCTTAGCCATCACTGACAAGATTCTTGTCAGTGTTCAGATAACCCACCAGAAATTATGGACTTGTACACCCTCAGTAAGGGCAGATTTTACCCACAGATTTTGGCAGCAGTGATACCTGAAAAAGAAAAGAGAAATAGGCCAAAGCAGTTGTAATTTGCAGAGCTGGAAGTTGGAGCAAGTACTCTTTGTGGACAGACAGGTGTTATCAGAGCTCACCAGAAGATCATAAAACACAGATATAGATTTTAGAGGCTGACTTTAATAAGCATCACTTTTTGTGCCTTGCCATATTCCTTTTGGTTGTGGACCAAGGATCTAGGAGTTTCAAAATGTCTGGGTTGTGTATGTGTGTGTAAGTGATTTTTTTGTCTCACTTTAATATTTCCTCTGCATTTGCTTGTTTCTTAACCAAAAAACCCCAAACAAACAAAACAAAAACAGACCAAACAAAAGAAATGGAGAAAAAAAGAAAGAAAAAGAAAAAGAAAAAGAAAAAGAAAAAGAAAAAGAAAAAGAAAAAGAAAAAAGGGAGAACATTATGTAAAGTTTTTGTTGCTTTGGGAGACCTTTAGCTAATTACAGAAACCTCAGGTCCCCTTTCAATCCATGCCCTTGAGAACTTTGATGTAATGTGAAAGTACACACCTAAAGTGTGCGAATGGGAAATCAACATCTTTTTGTAGATAAAACCAATAAAACTAAAGGCCATGTTTAAACAATTATAATGAATTGCTGGCAAAAATACCTTAAAACATTACTGAAGCATTGTCATCTTCCTCTTATTGCACACAGTGTAAATTACTTTTTAAAAAATCCAGTGAAATAGGCCAGCATAAAGTTTCTCATTATGAAGCTGTTTTATTTTAAGAGTTAGAAAGACAGGACTTCCCACTAAATGTCCAGGTAACAGAGGCATCACCTGACAAACAGACACTGACAACCATTGCATCAACTGTGCTCAATTTTTCATTTTGAGATATAGAAAGACAAATTTTCAATTACAGATTATTTCTGTAAAGCAAACTGTAACAATATTGGCATTTTATAGTCTGACACATATTCACAAAGACAAACTCATTCACTGAAAGAAAAATTTGTGGCAAAGTTAAAAAGAAATGTTGATAATTTTACAGGGGTGAACTTGGGCACCTCAATGACAGAAACACAGACAACCACACTATATTTTATAAAATATGAACAGAAGAAATTAAGGGTACTCGAAGGACAAAGATTCTGCTTCATGACTTTGTTTCTCCTTGTTTGTAACTTCATTAGCATCTAATTAAAAAGTTGTAATAGATTTAACTCTCTTGAATGAGAAAATCAGATCACAAATCAAGCAGGACACTCATAAAAATTAAAACAATAAAAAAGGGACTGTGAACATCTGTGTTAAGAGAGTAATTAACTGATTTCAAATGCTTTGTTTGAATTTCAGTGCAATTAGTGAACAAACCGCAGTAGAGAAGAGAATAATTAAGAGTAAAATTGTCTTCTTTCCCTGTTACCAGAATTTTTTGATGTGACAGAGTGTGTATTTTTTCTTGACTTTTGGAGAAAGAGAAGCGCAGAGCCGGAATATCAGTCTGGAGCAGTTTGGAGACCCAGACCCACTGCCCACACATTCTTCACTGACTTCATCAGATTAGTGTTTATAAATACTTTTGCTTATAAATAGTTTGCTTTATTTTTAATTTTTTGTATGCATACAGCAAGCTAGCAGGACCATTTGAACATAACATAACCTTTAAAACAAGAGGACAATATTTTTCTTTATTTTATATGCATAGGTGTCTCTGTAAGTGTCTCTACCTTCAACCTGGTTGCCATATCTTTGGAGAGATACAGTGCCATTTGCAAGCCACTGCAGTCCAGGGTCTGGCAGACAAAATCTCACGCCCTGAGAGTGATTGCTGCGACCTGGTGTGTGTCCTTTATTATCATGTCACCATACCCAATCTACAGCAAACTGGTACCTTTCACCAAGTACAACAACACCACAGCAAATATGTGTCGGCTCCTTTGGCCAAGCGATGTCATTCAGCAGTCTTGGTAAGAATAACTGGCTGTTAGCAAATGTTAGTAATTATCTGCTGAAAAACGGGATTTCATGGTAGCAATAAGCCTATGGAAAATCAAGTATTAACCTTCAGCAAATGTTTACACTCTATCATTCTTATTTAAGATGTTAAAAAAGACCCCAACATTTTAAAGCTGCTTACATTTTGACATTTGAATGACTTTTCCCTTGTCATAGGAAAGACTGCCCAACATGGCAATGATTCTCACACCACGGTCTGCTAAGCCCCAACTGTCACTGTAAAGAAAGCATCTGTCACTTGTAGTAGGAATACTGCTTTCACTCATTTAGACATAAATTTCAACATTCTCAGAGAAATCCTTGATTAATCTTTGAGAAATGCAGACACTTACACCCCTCTGTGTGCTGCCTTGCCTGTTAATTTGTTTGAAGGTTCTCTGTAGCAGAGAAGTAGAATATGAGGCTGCAAATGTCTTATTTGAGTATCCTTCTGGTTGCTTATGGAGAATAGGGGCAGAGAGAGGTGAGGAGAGACATGCTCCCAGCCCTACACATCCAGGCAGGGTAAACAGCAGCACTATCAAACAGCAGTAGTACTTAGACATGATGTCCTTGCACGTTGACTAAACACTGACTGGCACTGAGAAAGTGTAAGATTTTTTTTTTATACTGAAGGTCAGTTGGAACTGGGAAAAAGATTAAAGTCTACACCATTTTGGTATGGTATATCCACAAAGAGAGTAACTGTGTTAATGCTTTCAGTAGTAGTCTCAGGTATTTGGCAGCATGAGGAGGAAGGGTACAGGAAAAAATTCTCTTTTCTGTGGTCTCCTTACAGATTCCCAGGTGTGTTACTGAATTTGCCCCAAAGTCACAGGGATCAGGAGAGACACAGGCTCATGGATGCATTTAAACATCATTATTTCCCAGCTTGTCGCCACTTCAGAGAAGCTGACTAGGAGAGTAGCCTATGTGAAACCACATAAAAGCTGCTTCCTTTACCAAAGAGATTGCCACTCCTGGGATCCCTCCTCAGGAGCTCTTCATGGCCCCAGGGATGAAAACCCAGGTTGTGGCTGGGTTTTTGCCCACGTGTGCCACAGCCCTCTGGAAGTCAGATCTGTCTGAAGCACAATGATAGAATAATTTGCATTGGAAAAGACCTCTAAGATCATTGAGTCCAACCATTACAATATTTTTAATGTACCAAGAACCCCTTTAAGAATCAGCAGGTGCTCATTTAGCTTCTGTGAGGCAATTTTAACATTGACCAAAACTACAGGGCATCCAATGCTCATCTGGTTATAGCAGGGAGTCCCAGTCATGGGCAGAGAGAACTTCTGCCCCCTTTAACTACTGTGGGAGTGCCCATCTCCTCTGAGCTGCACAGGTGGGATGAAAGATGGTTTTTGGCCATTATAGTCTTTTTCCTGCTGAGGGAAGCAGGAGAAGAAGTAGGAAGGTTCAAATTTCTGACATGTCAAAATGATATTTTGTATTGGCATGAAAGAAATTTAAAAAATCTTGAAATACTGTCTTCCCCAATTCTCAGTTGTATAAAAAGGACTTTTTCTGTTTTTTGCCATTCCTTATTGCCATCATTGAGTCAGGAACAGACGAAGTGACACTGACTTTAGATCAGAAGGCTAGGAGGCTAAAAGAACCAGTTTATTGAAACCCCTCCTTTTACACCCTGGTTTGATCCAGGTGGACCTGATTGGTCATTTAATCAATACATTTCACATGACTGGCTTATTAAGAAGACACTCTTTGGTGTTTGGGGTAAACATCTTTATGAGAAAAACGACTTGTTAAAAACACCACCTACAGATAATTTACTATTTGTTTACCATTCTTTCTCTCCACCTCCCTAAAGCTTCCCAGAGTAATTAATGGGAAAGCTTATCTAGCTTTCTCTCTCTCTGACCAGACTGTCATATCCACACCCTATTCTCAGTGTGTCTTTTGATTCCTTAGGTACACTTTCCTGCTACTCACACTCTTTCTTATTCCTGGGATTATAATGATGGTTGCATATGGTCTAATTTCTTTGGAACTCTACAGAGGAATAAAATTTGATGCCAGCCAGAGAAAATCTTCACGAGGTAACAAAACAATTTGCTTTGGGGTGGGCTTTTTTAAGTTACAGTTGAAGATACGAGCAGTCATTTTGAGGCTAATAAAAGGAAAGCTTTCTACTTGCAAAAATGATCGTTATGGTCAGTTATGTCATGAACTTGTCAGATGCATTTCCTGATCACAGTTACTCTGCTGTTAGCAAATAAACCTCACCTGTGGCTTGTTTGCAAAGATTCTGGGCAGAATACGTTAAATTTCTAATTTTATTCTAGAAATACCAAGATTTTTTTCTGGCCATGGATGAGGACCATTTTTGTCAATAAATGTCACAATGAAAATTGTCAAATTAAAGCAGAAGCATATAACCTTGAAAACTATCTTCTGTCCATACTGGACTAAGCAACATTCTTACACCTTTTGCATCAGTTTGTATAGAGGTAAGAAGTGAGAATATTGGGAGACAGTGGATTCAGAGCAGCTGATAACATGACTGACTCAGAAGCAGGCCAGTGCTTTCATTGCAACAGTTGCTCAGCTATGAATTATGTTGTTTATTTAGATTTAGACTGCATTGTTAATTTTTTATTTGGCCGACTGTTCAGAGATATTTTGCCAACTATTTAAACAGCACTTTATATGTACAGAGAGAAGAATAAGTACCTGCAGCGCCAAATATGAGGATGGAGATGGATGTTACCTCAACAAAACCAAAAGAAAAAGGAAAATGCCATTGCAACAGCTCTCTGCTATGAGCCACAACAAAATAGAGAGAGTGAGAAGCAACAGCTCTTCTGCCAACTTAATGGCCAAGAAACTTGTCATCCGTATGCTGATGGTGATAGTGGTTTTGTTTTTCATTTGCTGGACTCCCATCTTCAGCGTCAATGCCTGGCGAGCCTTCGACACGGCTTCCGCCGACCGGCGTCTCTCGGGGGCTCCCATCTCCTTCATCCACTTGCTGTCCTACACTTCTGCCTGCGTGAACCCCATCATTTACTGCTTCATGAACAAGCGTTTCCGCATGGCCTTCCTAGCCACCTTCACCTGCTGTGCCAGGCAAAAGCCCCCTGCCACACGGGGAGAGGCTGCTGATGAAGAGGAGGGGAAAACGACAAGGGCTTCCCTCTCCAAATGTTCTTACACACACATGTCTGCATCTGCACCCCCCTGAGCTGCACCAGGGAGGCAATGAGTGGTGAATTGACTGGTCTTGGAACATGACTGTGGCATCAGCTGAATGCCATTTACTCCTGAGTTAATGAAACACTTCAGCTGACAGTAAACACAGCAAGAATTCTATGGGAAATTGATGCTATCACTGTAAGAGTGTTAAATCACTTTCCTTCAAAAGTACAAAGGAGGAAGAGAGCTCTGAGATAAAGGACTTTATGAAAAGCCTTAGAAGTTGCTCTATTTGTAATAAATTCCACTGCAAAAATTGGTGTCCTCTACATCAACAGCTTTGCTGAGTTTTCAGATGCAGTTCTGAGTATCTCAAGATATTTCCAAGATGCAAATAGATTCTCCTCCAACATGAATATATGTAATGCAGTCTTCACTTCACTAGCTATGCCTCATAAGCAAAAATCTCTCTGTTATATTTGTAGTATCTTTTCACATTATTTTAGCTGAGCTAATACATGTTGAGATAATATTGGTGTCACTCTCATGGGAATTCTGGAGTGGTGAGAATGGGCTTGTCCATGTGAAATTAATGCTTTTAAGTAAAATAATGTCTTTTTTAAAAATAAAATTAAAATAAATATAGTTCACTTTGTGGGTGGAATGCTTTCTTCATTCAGGCAATAGCACAAATTAACATAATATAATGTATTTTTCACTTATATAAACCCCATAGAACAAGGACAAAGAAATGGCTTTCTTCTGTGCAGCTGAAAGCACCCACATATGCAAGTGTTGGGGTCTAAGATGAGCCACAAAGGCCCGTGTGGAAATTTCCACAGTGGGAAGCACAGGGATAAATGCTTGGGGTAAAGCAAAGAGGTGTTTTACAGAAGAGGCAGGACTGAAGACACAAGCTGGTGCCCACGGCAGTCACATTTCACAAACTCACTCACAGCCACTTCAGGCATGGCACTACCAGCATGGAAGTAAAAGCATTGGGTGCAGAATGGCAGAAAGGGCAGGGACAACGAGCAAAGGCTGAAAGGCTTTGTCAGAAAACAGTTTTTCTAAACTTTGGAGCAGCTATTTTCTCCAACTACACGTACTTGTAAAGAGATTCAGGATGGAGTAGAACAGGTTTGAATGATGTAATTTTTGGTGCTGTGTTGAGCGAGAATCCAGTCTCTTTCCTGTGCAGCACACAGGTGAGTGTGGGTGTTCAGGTCTTGTCCTTTGCTCTGTGGGACTCAGATGGAGAAGTTACATCACTTATTTTGGTTTGTGAAAATATCCTGTTGGAGATGTTTCTATCTTCTAGCTGAATCAATATCATTATAAACTCTTGTTATTAGACAGAGATTAAATTTGGGTACAGCGTGGAATGTAGATGTGGATATTAAATATAAGCCATCTCAAGGTTTTTAATCAGGAAAATCTGATCTCTTTACAGAATGATTTTAAATTAGAAATATACTGTGAGTTCCAGGACCCAGATCCATGTTCTGCACTCAGTTATTGCCTGAAATGGTTTACCCTAACAACTTAGGACACAATTTCAGTTATTATTTTTTTTCCATCCAGCTTGTCCACAGACAGGAAATTAAAAAAAAAAAATTCTAAACACTATTTATGCACAATCCATAGAAACAACGTTCTGCCTGCCTACTTAATAAAGTAGCGCTGCTCCTGGAACAGTGCTGAGACTACTGACATCAATCTGACCTTTTGCAAATACCCAACAAATTAAATTACGGGATTTAATTCATAGCAATAAAATGAAAATTTTACTTCACTTACAGATACATGCTGAGACCCTCTACAAACCTGTCCTCTGTGTTGAAACTGAAGGAACAAACTTAGCTGCTTTGGAATTTATGTGGAACAGTGACAGCAGAAAACATACTTGTGAATCATTTTATACCATTTGAAAGCCTGGATCAATTATAGGCAATAGTTTAAAAACTGTTGTTTAAGTAAGAAAACCCTCCACATGTTAATAATATACTGGACGTGACTATTGCTGTCTACGTGATGTATCGCAGGACAGCCCATACCACAGCTCTGTGTGCTCTTTCAAAAGCAAATTCCTTTTGTAAATGCAGCTTCTCCAGTACCTGTTGTGTCACCCGAGTGACATAACAGGACATGCACAGTTCACCTGCTCTCACTGATTGAGTCTGAGGACAGTGGTTTCAGATGAAAGCCAAAAGCTATTTTTAACAATGCCTTAATCAAATCTCAGCCCCCCATGGCTCCCGTAGCTGCAGCTGAAAGGAGCAGAGTTTCTGATTGATTCCCTTCTCGTAGCTGTCAGGGAGCACAATTTGGAGGTGATGAAATGAGGAAGGCAGGGGAAGATCCTGATGGAGTGGTGGCTGGGAGACAATCAGGGAAGGGTTGAAATGTGCCATTTCTCCAAGGCCCGTCTGTGTGTGCGTCACTCGTCCCCTCCATTGCCCCCTCTGCACCTATTTTCTTGTTATAGCAACACAATATTTCTTTTTCAAGCTCCCTTAGCCACAAGCCTTGTGCCAAATTCCAGCAAGAATTAGGAATTAAGCTTGTAAAATGCAATATAGCAATCCAGTCATTTTGTATTCTTCTGCCCTGGTCTCCTAGCACAGGAAATTTCAGCCCTTCTGCATCTTAATGCCATTTTTCCTGATCTGTGCATTGCAGAAGTCATTCCTGGGTCCAAATGTTTCCCTTTCATTGTTAAAGAATCATCCTACCAGTACCTTTAATTCAGATGCTGATGTCACTGGAAAGGTATTCAGCAATAAATATGGGTGGAATAAACATACCAAAATAAAAACAGCCCATGAAATCTCATTGTAGCAGTAGTTTACAGGGGTTGTAGAGAAAAATCCCATCCTACTACAAGCAGTATCCTACTAAAAACAAACTGTTTTCCAGATGTAGCAGACAAATGGCAAACAAATGAATTTCAGGTGCATAATGTCCATAAATCTTGGAAGTTTTTATCTTCTTTCCGTTTCTCCCAACTCCCAGGGCTTTCCCCCCTCCGTCTGTCCTTCCCTTATCTCTTTCAGCTGCATGACACCATCTGATTTTTCTACTGCATGCTTCTCAATCTCTCGGTTAATTTCCTAGTACCACTAATAGCTAGATGATTTTTTCCTCTTTGACAGGTTTATTTTCCTTCCCACATTTACTTTCCCAGAAAGCACTCTCATCTTCATTTCCCCCATCATCTCCAGCTGACAGACTCCTGGAGCACATTTCTCCAGGCAATACATCCTGCCCAGCACACAGCAGCTCTGCAATCCCCCTACACTCCTACAGATGAGCTCGCACAGCGGCTCTTGAACACTGGCTCTCTAACAAGCAGGATGCACTAGTTCAGAAAACAAAAGTGGAGCTTTAATTACACCCAGATCCTCCTTTGATACTTCTGTCACTAGTACTTGCAACCTCTATTATTAGGGCATGTTTTAATGCTGATGCCTTACAATACTGCTAAATACAGGAACTGGTAAGGGGTCAAAGGAAAGGTATTTCACTATTGCCAAGACAAAATACCTTAATGCTCTTAATGGAAAGCTGTCTGTGGATTTGGAACTCCAGCCACTAAAGGTTTACACCCCTTATACAAGTCATGGCCTCTTTTCCAATACCACCAAGCCCTTCTTGGCAAAGTGGAGAGCCTGTCTGTGATCCCACCTGCTCCTGCATCCCCTCCTGTTTCTGCTCTGCCTCTGAGGCCAAGGATGGTGCAACCCCAGCACACCCAGCATGGCTCATCACAATGCTTTTCTTCAGGAAAACTTCAGGATGAGTTCAGGATCAGTCAATACTGAAACGGATGTTGAGCTAAACTGAGGGTTTCTGGTAGTAAAAGATGCCTATTCTCAAAAGGAAAATATAGAAAGATAAAACCTAATGGCTTTAAATCTGGGAAAGGATTACGTGAGAGCAGAGGCTGTAGCCCTTTTATTACAGCATCAGAGACAGAGTGGTAGAGAATATAAAATGAAAGGTTGGACTTTTGGTTGGGTTTTTTCTGTAAAATGTTTTGCTCTTCACTTCAAATATAACATAGACCGACCAAATACCACTTCACTCAGATGTGCATGTAGGTCAGCAGTTTGCTCACCCTCTGGCCACAGTTTTCCAGTCATTTTTTCTATATGCATAGAGAAATTTCATTTTTTCTATATGCATATATTAATTTCAGTTAAAAGCTTCAGTTTTTATGCAAAATCTATCCAGCATGCACCCAGTTCATCTCCCAGGGGTTACATACAGCACAGTAATGTGTGCCTTTAACATGCCAGAATTTCTCTCTCACTGTGTATAAAACCTCAACTTCTAGAATTACCTGTTTTTATTTTTTCCTTCTGAAGTGCTTGTTAGGCTGCCTTGGGTACCTCCTAAAGAAAAAAAATGTAAAGGAAATCTTCATGAATTGTAAAACTCCTGTTTTGCTGCCTAATGGCAATTCATCCCTGCTAGGAGCTATTTGTCTGCATCTTCACAGATAACTATTTCATGAAGAGTTTTCTTGGCTTCCACTCCCAGTTGTGTCCAAAAAGCTGATTTTGAGCTAGCACGATGTCAGTTGTTCCACTGTAAAGTGAGACAAACAAAGCATATTCATTAGCATCTGCTGGTAGCAAACATCAAGTAGGAATCATCCCCTATGGGGTAAACACAAGTTAATTGATGTCCTGCTATTTTGACAGTTATTAAAATTTAAAAAATATTTCCTGATACAATGAAGAAATGCAACTTATATACAAAGTCTGATTTAAAACAGTAGACAAAAATCACTGCATACGTCCTGTGAAAGTTATAAAAAAACCAGAGTTACAAAACAGGCGTAAAGAAAAGTCACATGTACAGAACCTAAATTCACAGGAAGGGGGCTACTCATGCACTTTGCTTGCTGTCAGAGGCAATTTTTTTTATTATTCTTTAATGGATGCTTGCTCAGGGCCTTGTTCTGAGAATATTTAGCAACTGCTAAGAGGCCTCATTCCTGACCAAGTGAAGAATGACATACTGAGGTGAAACCACAGGGGC